CGGCGCCTCGAGGACGCAGCTCCGGGCGCGCAGGCCCCGGGCCGTCCCCTCCGCGCGCTCCAGCCGGGAGCCGAGGGGCAGGCGTAGGTCGCGCAGAAACCAGGCCTCGTGCCCGCGGGCCGGGAGGCCGGGAGGGCGTTCTTCTCTCCCTCACTGCGGCCCTGTGGCCTCCAGCCTGGAGGAGTCCGGGCCCGGGGACCCGAGCCGCATCCCCGACGCGGCGCAGGAGCAGACCGCTCAAGTCAGACTGCGGCAAAAGGACCTCAGGCCGCGGGCGCCTGGGCCTTCACCGCAGAGGGCTGGCCGGGAGTGGCCGCGGCCCCCCGAGGCGAAGAAGCCGGATCTTTGGGAAAGAGGCCCGTGTCTCCGGAGCGCTGTGCTGGGGGCTGACGGTCCCCCAAGCCGGCTCAGAGTCCCCGGGACCCCGGGGTCTCAGGCGGGCGCCCGTCCAGCCTCTGCCGCAGTGCCGTCCTCTGGGCCTTGCCTGGGGACAGGAGGCCTGGCTGTGAGCCGCTGCCCAACTGGCCCTCCTGCTCCAGGTCGGCTGCGCTTCGGGGGAGCTGGGCCGCGACTCTGGCCCTTTCTGCCCCCGCCGGTTCTCTTCCTTCCGTGGTGGGGCCTGTCTGCCCTACCGGTGCCCTCTCCACCCTCCATCTTCTGGCCTTTCGGTCTCTCTCATCTGTCGGTGGCGGCGGTCTGCCGTCCCTGTCCCGTCTCCCACCAAGGATCCCTTCACCGCTCCCGGCGCCCTCTTCACATTTACCCGCATCTTGCCGGCCTTGCCGACCCCAGCGCCCGCCCGCAGTGACATGTCTGGCCGGGAAGGGAGGCCTCCGACGTTCGACCGGACCTCAGCCCTGCAAGCTGCCTTCCTCCGCCCCGGGACCCTCCAGCCGGTGCTCTGCCCGCCCGGGGGGGAGGCAGCAGGGCCAGTTGGTTCGTTTTAAGTCCAGGTCTGATGGAGCCTCTCCGCTCTCTTTTGCTTCCAGCTGCACTGTGGTTAATAATTCGTTTGAAGCGGGCAAAAAAAAAATCATTTTAGGATCAGTGAAAATGGAAACATGTTCTCGGGGAAGAGTCTAAACAGAGAAAACAGGAAGCGCATTTTCCCAATTCGGGGTGCTCTGGAATTTCCGGGAAGCCCCTACTCCACTACCGCTGACGCCCCGCCGCCGCGTGGCTGCTGTGCGGGCGCCGAAGAGTGTTGGGCGCGCTCCACGCATATTCTTTCTTCGGGACGCACAATGCCGATTTGGTTGGGGCAAACCCTCGTTTTCCTAACTTGCTGCCATTTCTTCTTGATTTCCCTTTTCTGTGAAAGACACACTCTGTGCGTCTGGGAACTGACACTTTGTTCATTGAGAATCACGAAATCCCAGAGGCGCTGGGGCCTGGGGAACGCCGGAAAGAGCCTGGGGTGGGGGAAGTCTCCCCTTCCCGACTCCGGGGACACTGGTGTTGAAGAGGGTGACCCTAGGCGGGTGGCGCAAATCTAGCGGTTCGAGGCCAGGCAGGAAAGTTTTGTGCTGGGTGCCACTGGCCAGGCGCGAGCGCTCAGGCTGCGCGGCGGTGGCGCATGGTGCGGGGTCTCCTGGAAGAGGAAACCGGCCCGCCCGAGCTCAATGGCTCCCCGCTCTCTCTCCCCGCAGCCGTGTTGAAGGCCGAGCAGGCGGCGGTGTTTAAATTCCCACTGGCTCCGCTCGGCTGCTCCGGGCTGGGCTCGGCGCTGCTGGCTGCGGGGCCTGGACTGCCCGGTGCGGCGGGCGCGCCGCACCTGCCGCTGGAGCTGCAGCTCCGCGGGAAGCTAGAGGCGCCAGGCACCGGGGAGCCGGGCGCCAAGGCCAAGAAGGGGCGTCGGAGCCGCACTGTGTTCACCGAGCTGCAGCTGATGGGCCTAGAGAAGCGCTTCGAGAAGCAAAAGTACCTCTCCACCCCCGACAGGTAGCGCAGGGCCTGGCGAGGCCAGCGGGGGCTGGGAGGGGCTGCGTGGCCTGCTGAAGGTGCACCCTGCTCTTTCCAGAATAGATCTCGCCGAGTCCCTGGGCCTGAGCCAGTTACAGGTGAAGACGTGGTACCAGAATCGGAGGATGAAGTGGAAGAAAATAGTGAGTGTCCCCTGGCCTCCCGCGCCCTCGGTCGCCATGTCCCTGTGCCCCTCAAGAGCTGCTCTCCCCCCACCCTGGACACTTCTGCCCAACTCTCTGGATTCCGGATTTTCTCCCTGCCTGGTGCCCACAGGGACCCTCTCTGCTCTCTCTGTCCCTCTGGGCAACCGAGGACAGCCCACATTCCTTTGTGCTCTGCTGCACCCTGAGGCCTGTGGCAGCCTTGAACCCCTACGCCAGACCCTCTGGTGGCTTTTCCCTCGCGGCACTCAGACAAATGGCTGCCATTTCCCCTGGGCTAGGTGCGGCCTCCGATGGCCTTGTTGGGCCCTCTAGGCCTTGACTGGGCACAAGGCTCGGGGTCCCGGATCCCGGGTCCCGGGTCCTAGCTCATGGCGGAGCTGGCTGTCTCCCGCGCAGGTGCTGCAGGGTGGCGGCCTGGAGTCTCCCACCAAGCCCAAGGGGCGGCCCAAGAAGAACTCCATTCCCACAAGCGAGCAGCTCACGGAGCAGGAGCGCGCCAAGGAGGTGGAGAAGCCGGCGGAGGTGCCGGGCGAGGCCGGCGACAGGAGCCGCGAGGACTGAGCGCGGCAGAGGGTGCAGGCCGGGGACCTTCACGCTGCCCGCGGCCCCCTCAGCCCGCGGGAAGCCGCGAGCCGGCCCTTCCGCGTCCATGTCGTTTGCTTTCTAAACGTTTTATTATTACCTTGAATGCGGACAGTTAGGGGCCCAACAAGGAAGGACACAGACCCTGAAGCCAAACCCCGGCCCCAGTGCGCTCTGGGCCCTAGCCTGGAGACTGGCGTCCGGCGCGGAGGAGGGTCATCTCCGCCCGGAGCTCCGCGGCGCCGGGCGCTCCACGCGCATTCACGCCCGCCCCTCTCCCGCACCCCCACCCGCCTCGGCCGGCCCTCCGCGTCCGGACGCCGCCAGGCACACACCCGCTTCCGCGCGTCGGGGACCCCGCGGCCCGGAGCAGGCCACCACGGCCGGAGACGGCGCCCGGACAACCCGGCGCTCGGCTCTGCAGCCGGGTCCCCGACGTCGCTGGGGTCCCCACCCCTCTCCTGCGAAGACGGTGATTTTTTTTTTTCCAATAAAATATTTTATGACACGGTGGGGCTTGATGAGGGGGTTTCTGAATTCGAGGGAGGGGCGGGTAGAGGACGCGGTGAGGTAAGAGGGACACTCGCAGTGGCTTCTAAACCATCCTTTACCCGGGCTGCGTGGAAGCGAGCTGTGACCTGCTCCGATGGGCCCGGGGTGGACGCGGCGGGCGCTCGGTTGCTGCAGGATCCTGGGAGTCGCTTCCACTCTGGGCGCGAGGGGCCAGTCTGAGCCCCTCCTCTCCTTCCCAGCCCAAGGCGCCACGGCGGTAGCACCCAGGCTACACAGGAGACGCCCCAAGGAGTGAGAGCCCAGGCCACCGTGGCGATCACTGGGGAAGTGGCCGGGGCTGAGAGCCGCCTCCTGTTCTTGGTTCCGTCTTCTGGGACCTGAAGGACCGCCTGTGAGGTCCTCGAGATGGTCCTGGCCAGCCCTTCCTGAGGCCGACGGGAAGCCGAGGCCTCGAGGTTCGCATAGAGACGCGCCACGAGCGGCAGCCCAGCGCGCGGCGGCGCCTGCCTCTCAGTTTTCGTTTTCCGCGGTCCACGCAGGGCGGAGGCGCAGGCCACGGAGTCCCGGCTCCGGGCATGAGAACACCTGACAGGCCGAGGACTCTGAGCTGCCGGAGCTGGGGCAGGGCGCACTTTCCGGGCGCAGCTTGCTGGCGCATGCCCGTGGGTGCCCCTCCCCACGGGGAAGGCTTCGACTGCCTTCTCTCCCGCCTAGGCTGGGCTCGGAGCTCGCGTGTGGGTTCCTGTCCTTGCGCTTCCTAGGAAGACGACGACCAGGTATGGTGATGGAGAGATGGCCACTTTGCTAGTTAAAGCTCAGGGAGAGACCCCAATTTGGCCTTGCAGAGTTCCAAGGGGACCAGGATTCCACCAGGTCCTCCAGGCGCAGATACCAGGGAAAGAGGAATATCATGCCCAGGTGCAGGCTCCGCGCGGTACAGAGCGAAAAGGACCTTTATGGCCTCTACCTGCGATGGCTACCGCTTCCTTTTCAAACCGCAGCTTGATCGTCCCTTTCTGAAACCTGCGGTTGGATTTCCGGCCCCGGGGCATCTCAGGCCGCGGTTTAAGGCCCGAGGAGGGAGAAAGACGGTGCTTTCCGGGAACTGCGGGCGATTCTCCGCGCCCCTATCCTGCAAGTCTCAGGGAAACCAGCTCCCGCTCGAGGCTCTTAATTCAGCCTTGCAAACAGCTCCCAGGCCGCTCGCCCGCCGGCGTCCCCCGAGGGGCCAAGAAAACCTCCGCGACCCTGGCGCGAGGGAAGGAGCGGATCCTCAGTGTGTGACTGCACCCCGAATCCCTTCCGGCCCTTAGGGTTACCCCGGGGTCGGCTCAAGGCCGCGGTCCTCCGGGAACCCTCCCGCACCAGGCCCCGCCGGCCGGCCGAGTGAGCTTCACCACTGCGTTTAACCCTCCCTACTTCAAACGGAGGGGAGGGGAAAGTCCGAGCAGTTCTGTCCCAGGTGGGCCTGGGGGCCCAAGGTTCCACCACGGCCTTTGTCGACCACGCAGAGTTGCAGAAGGAATGGGGGTCGAGGAGGAGAGGGGTCCGCTCCGGATCCTCAGGTTTTACTAAGTCTGACCTTAGGCGGACTGCCCCGCGGTTCTACGGCGTTTCCCCAAGGCCCCCTCGCTGGACTGGACGAAAGGGCCACGAAGGACCAAGGCTCTAAAGTGGGGAGGGGCGTCCGGCGAATCCGGCGCCGGAGTACAGGGTCCCCAATATTCCAGCGAGCACAGCCCCCCAGGCACAGATGGGAAACCAAGCGGGCACTGCTGTCGCGAGGTCACCAGCCGGTCAGTGGGGACCTAGGCCCCAACCAGGGGTCCGGATTCAGGCGCGAGCGGGGGTGGGAGGGGTTTCTGTCACCGCCTTCGCCGCTGTGCTTCTTGGCGGACAGGGGACTGGCGATCGCAGCAGACAACCCCCAGGCCAGGAGAGGAGCGGGCCGCCGGGGCTTCCTCGCTTGGGGGTCCCTGTGCCCGCCAGGAGCTGGGAGGCGCCCGGGAGAAGCGGAGGCGCCGAGGTGGACCATCTGCCCATCCGAGACTTCGCGTGGGGCCCGCGGAGCCGGACTCGGGGTAAAGGGTCGCATCCCGTCCACTGAGGTGACCGGTGCCCCGGCCTGCGCGCCACCCCACCCCGGTCACCCAGCGCGGAGACCTCTCCCCGCCTGGAGCAGCCGCGCCCCCCACTGCAGGCCCGGGGCTTCGGGGAGGGAGGGTCCCCTTGCCCCCTTCGCTTCCCCCGCCGCAGGAATCTCTCATCCACCCCAAGGTCCTGGGAAACGAAACCCAGAGGCTGCGCGAGCGAGCGAGCCGGGTTGCGGCTGCGTCTCCGGAGCCCCGGGCAAAGGCCGGGGAGGGAGAGGGCTCGGGCGTCTCGCGAG